TCTTTGAGTGCACCGTCGTCTGGCAGCGCGTGCGCACGCTCACCGAGTTCCGCACCATGAGCGTGCAGCCATTCCCGATCCAGGTGTACCGCGACGGGAAGTGGACGGAGATGCACACCGACAAGCTCCTTCCAGGCGATGTCGTCAGCCTCGTTCGCGGGCAGCACGAGACTACTGTTCCCGGCGACATCCTGCTAGTGCACGGAACCTGTATCGTGAACGAGGCCATGCTGTCGGGAGAATCGACCCCCCTGCTCAAGGAGAGCATCCAACTCCTGGAGGCAAACGATCGGTTAGACGTTGACGGCGTACACAAGAACTACGTGTTGTTCAGCGGTACAAAGGTCCTCCAGGCTACCCCCTCGACCCAAACTGCGTCCCCGATCAAGACCCCTGACGGTGGCTGCCTCGGCGTTGTTCTGCGCACCGGCTTCGGTACCGCGCAAGGCCAACTCGTTCGCACAATGATCTTCTCGACGGAGCGCGTGTCGGCGAACAACCTCGAGAGCTTCCTCTTCATCGGCTTCCTGCTCATCTTTGCTATCGGCGCAAGCTGGTATGTGTGGGTTAATGGTGCGTTTGCTATACCGTCATCGCGTTTACTTTCTAACGTCTCACAGGGCTCGCGCGTGGCATGCCGAAGGGCAAGCTGCTGCTCGACTGCGTGCTCATTATCACGAGTGTCGTACCCCCCGAGCTGCCCATGGAGCTGTCGCTGGCCGTAAACGCCTCCCTCGTCGCCTTGTCCAAGTATGGTGCGTGCCATAGCTACTCTTCAGGCACGCAACGCTCACCACTCTTCAAGCCATCTTCTGCACAGAGCCATTCCGCATTCCGTTCGCCGGGCGCGTGGATGTCTGCTGCTTCGACAAGACTGGTACCATCACCGCGGAGAACCTAGTGCTGGAAGGGGTCGTAGGCGTAGAGTGCGTATGCGCGTCAGCACATGCTCCCAATAACTGACGGTGTCCTTCAAATAGGAAGAAGCTCATCAATGTCAAGGACGCGACCCGCGAGACTATTCTTTGCCTCGCTGGCGCCCATGCCCTGGTCCGGCTCGACGACGGTACCATCGTGGGTGACCCCATGGAGAAGACGACGCTGGAGAGCCTGGGCTGGGAGGTTGCGAAGGGTGAGTTGACAACACACGCGACTACCGCTGTGTCATAACTGATGCGCGCGCAGGCGACCAGGTGCACCCCTCCAAAGACTCACAGCACGACCGCAAGCTTGCCCTGCAGATCCGCCGCCGCTTTCAGTTCTCATCGGCGCTGAAGCGCATGTCGACGGTGTCTGCCATGTCAGGAGGACAGCTGATCGCTGCCGTTAAGGTGCGTGCGCGGGCCGCTAGCTAATCCCACAATATCATCTGGCTCATGAACAATGCAGGGCGCGCCGGAGACCATCAAGGGTATGCTGCGCAACGTTCCAGAGGGCTACGACGACACGTACAAGTGGTATACGCGCAGGGGCAGCCGTGTCCTGGCACTCGGCGTCAAGGATATGGAGACGATGAACACGGAGAAGGTATGTCCCATTGCTTTGCTGCTGCTTTACTGGATACTAACAGAGTTGTAGATCAACAAACTTCCCCGCGAGGTGGTGGAGAGCGACCTTCACTTTGCTGGATTCATGGTCTTCCATTGCCCGTTGAAGGTGGATGCGGTCGAGACGCTGCAGATGCTGGCGGACTCTTCCCACAGGGTGCGTACGGATATGCGGTACATCTGAACGAATGGGACTGACCGGCATCCCTTAGTGCATCATGATTACCGGCGACAACCCACTGACCGCCGTACACGTCGCTCGCGATGTCGAGATCGTGGACCGGGAAGCACTGATTCTTGATCTCAAGGAGAACCCCTCAAGCGAGAGAGGTGTGCAACACCGCAGCCACTGAGCTGTCACTGTACTGACTGAACCGTCTACTCAGACCTCATCTGGCACACCGTAGATGAGACCAAGGTCATCCCCGTAGACCCATCCGAGCCCCTCGACGAATCCCTCTTCGAGCAGTACGATATCTGCGTCACCGGCGTTGCCATGAAGCAATACGAACAAACCCCCGCCTTTGCCACCCTCGTCCAGAACACTTGGGTCTACGCGCGCGTCTCGCCCGTGCAGAAGGAGCTCATCCTCACCGCGCTCAAGACCGCCGGCTACGTGACCCTGATGGCGGGCGACGGCACGAACGACGTCGGCGCGCTCAAGCAGGCCCATGTCGGCGTCGCGCTGCTCGACGGCACGCCGGACGACCTGAAGAAAATCGCGGAGCGGCAGCGGATCGAGCGCGTCAAGCAGGTATACGAGAGTCAGCTGAGTATCTCGGCGCGCTTCAACCAAGCGCCGCCACCGGTGCCTGCGGCGATTGCCCATCTGTTTCCGGACGCGGTGCAGGCGCAGCAGCAGGCGGCGAACGACCAGCGCGTTGCAAGGCAGAGGAATCCTGCGCAGAAGGTTAGTGCCGTGCTACTGAGTCCTGAATGCATGGGATAACAGTTCCTGCAGTTTGATATGTCAGCCATCACGGACAAGCTCGCAGACATCGATGATGAGGATGTGCCCAAGATCAAGCTCGGCGACGCGTCCTGCGCCGCTCCGTTCACGTCGAAGCTCTCCAACGTCTCCTCCAGTGCGTGTCCCTTTGCGGGTGGGTATGTGCACACGCTGATGTCTATGACAGTCTCGCACATCATCCGACAGGGGCGCAGCACGCTCGTAGCAACGGTCCAGATGTACAAAATCCTGGCGCTGAACTGTCTCATTACGGCCTACAGCTTGAGCGTGCAGTACCTCGACGGCATCAAGTTCGGCGACTACCAAGTGACGATCACGGGTATGCTCATGTCGGTGTGCTTCCTGTGCATCTCGCGTGCGAAGGTGAGGGAGCGACCTGCAGCTGTCATGTCCCCCGAACTAACTTTGTGGTAGTCCGTGGAGAAGCTATCGCGCGAGCGGCCGCTCGGCAACATCTTCAACTTTTATGTCTTGCTTTCGGTACTGCTGCAGTTCGCCCTGCACATTGCATCGTTGGTGTACATCACGAATTTGACGAGGGTGTATGAGGAGTGCGTGTCCGTTTTCATGGTGTGTTCGCAGGAAGACTGACGGTAAATACAGACGTGGCGATATCGACTTGGAGGCACCATTCGCGCCCAACTTACTGAACACCGCGATCTACCTGCTCAGCTTGTCGCAGCAGGTGTCCACATTTACGATCAACTTCCAGGTGCGACGGATTGCATTTTGCAAGAGCACTCTGACTAACATCTATTAGGGACGGCCATTCCGCGAGGGTATTCGCGAGAATGCGGCGCTGTACTGGGGTCTTGTAGGCGCGAGTGCGGTCGCCTTCTCCGGTGCGACCGACTTCATGCCCGAACTCAACCGCTGGCTGCAAATTGTCGAGATGACCGATGCTGTGAGTAGCTTGGCTCGCTCTGTGAAGTCCATATTCATCGCTGAACCTCTCATAGTTCAAGATTCGTCTTACCCTCTCTATGATCATTGACTTTGGCGGCTGCTGGATTATTGAGAAGACGTGCAAGTTCCTGTTTGCGGACCTGGAGCCGAAGGCGATGGTGACCCGCGGACGCGAACGACGCGAGAAGCGTCGCGCAGAGCAGGAGCGGCAGAAGCAGCTGGAGGAGGCGGGGGCGGTCACGGAGAAGAAATCCCAATGATAGATCACTGTAACTGCATAGATGGGTTCTATGGATATCTATGCTAGGGCGCTGCCAGCCTATGTATTATCTCTCACTCACGGCACTAGGGACGCGCAAGCGGGTGGCTGGTCAAGGAGCAGCGAACGAGGTGTGGACAGGCTAAAGGGACAGAAACGGAAGGTCACGACGAAAACGCCTGTTTGGGGTGTGCTTGGGGACGCTCTAGTGATCTGAACACAGTAAGTATACGTCGGACCCGACCAGATTTGCAACCATGATGATTATGACTGGCTTCAGTGGGTTGTCAGTGAGCCTCACGGCCACCCGTCATGAGCGCGGCATTGGTAAGTGATACTGGAGGAATGGCAGTGTTCTATATCATGGTCACGACTCGTCGAATTGTCGTGGACATGGCCATGGACATTGGCAATACTTACACAATAGGGCGTATTAGGGCGTATTCGCCCATCCAAAAAGCATGATCCAAAAACCAAAGATACGGGTTTAGTTCAGCAAGAAAGGAACATATGCCACGAAATTGATTTGTTAACTTACGAAGTGATACAGGACGTCGAGCAGGCCGTTGAGGTTCCTCAGCCCGAACAGCGCGTCAGGACTTCGGCTTTCGAGCGCAGACTTTGGCAGGGAGGCCGTCAGCATACTCTGGCCGCCTTTGGGCGTGTTTCGCGTTTGCGTTTGGCCTTCTGAAGCGCCTGCCAACATCCAGCCAACGCCCTACTTATATTACTGGCTTCGAAGTCGTACAAGTTTACATCGACAATTTTGGGGTACTTCAATTTGTTTTGGAATCTTCAAAGTGATGTTATGCACTAGCGAATAGGGCGTATTCGCTAGTGCATAACATCACTTTGAAGATTCCAAAACAAATTGGAGTACCCCAAAATTGTCGATGCAAACTTGTACGACTTTGAAGCCAGAAATATTAGTAGGACGTTGGCTGGATGTTGGCAGGCGCTTCAGAAGGCCCAACACAAACGCGAAACACCCCCAAAGGCGGCCAGAGTATGCTGACGGCCTCCCTGCCAGAGCCTGCGCTCGAAAGCCGAAGTCCTGACGCGCTGTTCAGGCTGAGGAACGTCAACGGCCTGCTGGACGTCCTGTATCACTTCGTAAGTTGACAAATCAATTTCGTGGCATATGTTCCTTTCTTGCTGAACTAAACCCGTATCTTTGGTTTTTGGATCATGCTTTTTGGATGGGCGAATACGCCCTAATGCAATAAATGCCATAGGTAGTAGTACTGGCATACACAAGCGAATGCTTGTTCAAAGCATTTTACGTTTCTGGACAAACAATGCAGCACCAATTATATAAGCATCAGTGGTGTAATGGTAACATTGGAGCTTCCCAGCCCTGGGTCACGTGATTCGTGATAAACTGCTCTAGCCTCGGGTTCGATTCCCGGCTGATGCATAAGATGTATCTTTTTTCCTTTTTGACCAACGCCAGAAGGATTGTTATGCGTCAAGCGTCAAGCTTGCAAGCTGAGTCTGCTGGACTGAGATGAGACCAGGATGAGACTCAGGCTCTCCAAGTACAAATCATTTCTGGGACAAGGTTGAACCGCCATGTCAGTACTAGTAAGTACCACCACCACTGCGAAAACTCCAATGTTGCCGTTACACCAGCTCAAGGATTTTGACTCTAAGCTCTCTCTAAGCTCTCACGCGATAGCTCAGCGCTGGCATGGCCTGGCTAACAATCAATCCATTGTTCTTCCGAGCAATCTGATAGTGATAATTTACTGCGTACTAATCCTTGATTACCGGAACACTATCTATGCGTAAGTAGTAACGAAAGTCTGACGAGAAGACCGTCATGGTCGAGCGGAGCAATATGTAAACATAGAATCAAGACAAGATAGCTGGCTGAGATAGATGCGCTGCGCGGACATGGCGAGAGGGTAGGTGAGAACGTATGAACGAGGACATGTGGATGAGGAGGACGAGTGGATGAGGAGGATGCGTGGATGAGGAGGATGCGTGGGTAGAGAGGACAGGTGGAGTGAGGATGATTGGCGTGAGGATAGATGGGCAGTAGTATTAAATAGGCAGGTGACCGAGCACGAAGCCAAAGATGCAGCCGCCAAGGGTGCAGTGTCATGAAGCCAAACATGCGAGGGTCATGCCAATTGCAGAGCGGGGCATGAACGACGAGGGGTGTCGTGCGAGTAGCAAGGGTCAATCGTAAGCAGCTGGGACGGGATTCGTATCAGTTCCTCCTCCATTGCTCATATCAGAGCACCGCCCCTCCTCCACAACACCGCCGTCTCTTCCATAGCGCCGGCCCTCCTCCGCAGCACGGCTCCGCACCTGAGATGCCATGGAGTATATCGAGTGTCCAAGGGTGCGGCGCATATGGCGAGCATGGGCGCTCACAACACGCAGAGGGCCGACACAAGCGCAGCGGCGGCGCCGAGCAAGAGACCATGCGCAGGCTCCCACGATGCGCTCGCGCCGTTATCGTTCCCGAATCGACGCTGGTATGTGGCGTTACGGAAAAGCTGCGGGAAAGGCTCGTCAGTTGCTTGCAAAAAAACAGGGCATGTATACGAAGAGGCACCCGGACAAGAATGGAGGGTGTACACGAGTTGCGTACGGTGAAAAGTTGTGATGGGCGTAACAAAAAGGATTGCACAAAGTCAAAACACCGATGAAGACACCGATGAAGCGATAAGATGCGCTGGCAGACATGAGACGGAGGGGGAGAGTGCGCAGCACAGGATATAGGAACCAGACGATGATAGTATAGCGACGTGGCGCAGATACACCGCCTCATTCAGGAGCATGGGAAATAGACGGAACTTCGTGAGAGTAGACAAGATTGGAACGCACCCGTGTCATACCCGCTTCACTCCTCGTCATACCTTCGCCGTCGTGCGACACGCCCTCCACCCAGTCGACGGTCGCATTATCGGGCACTGAGCCGCCCGAAATGTCCTTGATCATGTTGACAAAGTTCAGGCCGCGCTCGTAATGCGTCAGGCCTTGGGTCTGCGAGCCGAAGTGTCAGCGAGCGATTCGAAAGTAAGTTCTAGTGGACGGGCAAATATAGCGAGCGAGGGAAGCAAAGGGAAGCGCGCTGTAGACCAAACAGGCACAGACGACGCACCTTCGCCTGGCAGCGCGTATCGCCTGGGCCGTCGTCGGCTGTTCCCCACGCATAGTGGATGTTATGCGAGTTGTAGCGCTCGACGATCCCATCGCGGCCGTAGTGGTTGTAGGCGTAGGTTCCGTAGCCCGGAAGGCCGTCTGTCAAGCCATACTTCCACCTGTCGACATTCTCGCAAGTGCTGTTGGGAAGCGGACGGTCCGCTGTCAACCAAAGCAGGGAGCCGGGATTGGCGAGCCAGAAGGCGATTCGCGCGTTGTGTTTGCTGCTCTTACGAAGCGCCGCATAACGTTGACCGAACTGCGCGCCTGCAGAGTGGCCGGCAATGACTACTTTCTGCGAGAGAGTCAGCAAGCGCATGAGGAGCGGTGTAGAAGGCGTACATCGAGATTGGGGAACTCATCCTTGTCGAGGTAGTAATCGAGCAGGTCATCCACCACGTCGTAAGAGCTGATGTTGGTGAATGAGCCAGGGCCCGAGCTGTAGTGACCGGACATCCATGTCGTGCCGTTGAAGATAAGGGTTGTGTTGTCACCCGCGCCAGCAGTGATGTCTTTCGGGTTGAGCAGGCTAGTATACCATGAGCAGCAGAATGGGTGCATTGAAACGCGACGCACGCAGGAGCCATGATGGAGATGGCGTTGTAGTCGACGTCTTCATAAGTCTCTGCCGCTTGGTATAATGCCTTGTCCATGACCCAGAAATCTTGTGGACGATGAGCTCGTCAATGCTGAAACAGCGGTCCGTTACTCACAGTACCAATTATCTCGGAGCTGAGAAGGATGTAAGTCACCGAAGCGAAGTACAGCGCCAGGACATACCTTGCCTGGTGGCACAATGACGGCTCTGGTTATATTCTTGTTGTCCTTTCCCGCAGATATATACATGGGCTGTAAGACGTTGAGCTGTACCCTTTGCGCAGGTTGCTATGGACGCACTATGGTAGCCCCCTCCGCTGACTTCAGTGGGAAATTGAGGATTGTCTGCGCATTGGATACATTGGGGAAGCCGGCATAGCCGTTGTCCGCATCGCCCAAAGAGTTGGGCTGCACAGAATACCCAGAGACGTCGGGCATAGGCATGTCCCGCCGGATGTGGTGGGCAGCAGCAAAATGGTGGCTGCGGGCGGATGCATAGAAGGCGAGGGAAAGAACGACGAGGGACGCGGCGAGGCGCATGGTGGCGACCAGCTCAAGGGTGCGGGTGAGAGCTGGCGGATGACCGTTAGGTACAAGAGGAACGATGATCCGTCTCGGACTGACCGAGGCTCCCTAAGTAGACACCGGCCTGCGGACGTCGGAGACTCTGCCGCCGGACAATGCCGTCGGCTTGGCAGGTCCGGTTCAAATATTCAAGTTGAACTCCAACTTGCCCTTACCTGCTGGTGCCCTTGGCTTCGAAGCTCCTGGGCACTAAGCGGAAGAAAATGTGGTGGATGTCGCTAAGGAATCAATATATATTTGAGATTTGGCGGGCAAACGATGCGAATTTATGGAAACGCGCAGTACTTCCTGCTCTCCACTAGCATCGATGTCCAGCTACCATACCTATCACTTCCCAGGAAGCTTCAGGTAACCAGTGACACGATCATGATCATCAGCATCTACTTACTGTTCAGAGCTGAGGCAGTAGGGTAGCGGCGCAGCGTTAGCTGTGGCCTCACACAGTTGACTGCTGGTACAGTGTTCAATCACTCGATGAGCAGCTCAAATTCTGAGCAGCCTCGGAGTATTTATTGTTGGACATTTATATCAAGTAAAATATACCGATCTGACCGTATACTATGGGCCTTTCGACTTATGTACTTTACAAAGCTCAGAAGTGAGCAGTCCCCACACAGAAGGGGGATCACGGCGAAAATGAGCAACTGAGAGCAAAACCATTCGATGAGCAGTGTCACGTCACACCGGCTAACAGCCTACCCGTCGGGGCGAGTCCCAATTGGGAATGCCCTCCGAATCTCTGCGCTGCGACCACCACGACTCGGGCGTCGCGCCACCGTCCCAGCTACTTCACGCATCACTCCTCGAGCAGCTGCTGCCTCATCTCGAGTTGGAGTATGGTACTTTGGGGGAGGTTTATGCTGTCTGAGTGCCAGGTGTGTGTCATGACATCCGTTGCAGAGCTTGTGCTGATCATGGTGTAGTATTAATCGAGTTCCTCATTGTCCTGAGCCAGAGGCGACACCGTAGTTCGAAGTGTAGAGATGCCTTACATGCCTACATATAATGATCTAGTCCAACTCGTCCTCTCCAGAGCCCTCCGAGCTCGAGCCGTCGTCCGATATGTTCCAATCCGAGTCGGATTGTGTAGCATCCAGGCCCGCATCAACGACCTCCAGCACATCTGCATCGTCCTCATGAGGAGGACGCGTTGGCATCCTCTTCTTCGATCCTGGTGGCTTCTCCAAGGATGGACGAACAGGCTTTTTGCGGCGGATCTTTACCCCATCAGCCTTCAGCGCGTCGCGCTCGCGCTCCCACTCCTCCACCTCATCCTTCCACTGCTGTGTGACAAGCTTGTTCCGTGCAACGCGTGCCTGCGCCTCCGCCTTCTGCTCCTTGTTCGCCCGAGACTTCTCCTGTCGCACCGCAGCACGCTCCTTCTTCTCATCCTCCTTCATGGCTTTATCGTCGTGATACTTCTTCACGGCCGCAACCTGCTCGTCGGCAGTAAGCAGTACCGGCATCCCATTACCAATAGGAAGGGTCGCTTTCGATCGCTTCCTCCTCTTCTCTTCCTCCATCTCGTTCAGCTGGAAGTTCAGACGACTGGCGTACGCATTGGTAAGCGTCGCGGCGGCCTGTCCCACGATCAACTGCTCCTTCTTCAAGAAGTATCGTTCCTCGCCCTCCCGAAGAGCTGCCTGCAGTGCTGCCTCCAGTGGAGTGGATGGCGCGATTGCCAGGAGGTCGTCGTATCGCCGCTTCTGAGGGGAAATTGCGATCGTCGGGATGATTGGTGTTGGGTGCGTAGACGGTATCGGTGTGGAGGAAGTGAGATAACGACCCGACTCGGTGGCGGCGAGGGACTGAAAGGCTGTCCGCGTCAAGAAGCTAGCAGACGCGGTCGAAGGACCCGCGATCGGGGACTCTGGTGACGGTGGAGAGTCAGCCCGCTCGACTGCTCGTGCAAGTTCCTGTGCGTGTTGTTCCGCGGTACGATCTCGTATGAAGTCTGACATGACTTTGACAGGACTGGTCATTGGAATCAGCGAGGTTGTCGGTCGGAGAGACGTTGTCTGGCTCGGAGCCATGGCCGCTTCACTGATGATGGCAGGATCGAGGGGATTGACGCCGGTC